CTTTCCTGGTCTAGCACACAACCTGCATGTGTGTATCACGTGTGATGTCAGGTTGAATGGGCAAAGTTCTGGTCCATGTACTGTGTGAAGGCACGCAGCTGAGCAGGTCACATCTAATCAGCATGAGGTGGAAGAGGAAAGTTGTGCAGCCTGACATCATGAGCTACATTCCAGCCTTATGACATGGCGTCAAGTTGGGTGACTAGGTCAGCAAGTGTGCTATAGTTGTTGCTTCCATTAACTCCAGGGTTTTGCAAGTCTGGAACTTCCACACACCGAGAGCAGATTGTTGAGGCTTATCTGGTGTTTATGAGTACAGAGCTCACAGTACTGTCTTGTCGTGTCTGGCTTAGGCTTGATTCAAGTGTCACATAATCCAAAGGAAAATGAAGAGCTCTATGCACTAATCTCCATGTAATTTCAATTTTTCTCCTGTCAGTGTTTTGCCTGCTAGGGAATTCCACAAAGTGTTGCTTAATGACTATGTGGTAGGTCACAGCAAAAAAAAAAAAAATGAGAGGTGTAGGTCAATGGTGGAGAATGACTAGGGAAGAGAGCTCCAGCTGCGGCGAAGAGATTAGATGACCTTGCTTTGTGCTGACTTTGCCATCTCCTTTGGAAATACACTTGAGAACAGTACGTCCAATTTGCTCACGTAATGCAGCCTCACTGAAACAAAGTGTTTAGGGATCAGGAGGCTAGCTACTTCACAAGTCATAGCCCTATTACCAAAACAGCTTGGATTTCTTTCCCTGTGGCTTTCGTCCTCATAACTACATTAGGATCTAGTATCTATTGTATGCCAGGCCCTGTGCCAGTTCTTTTGATGTGAAACTCAAAGAACCCTCGCACAAAATTAAGAAAGTAGGCACTACAGTTTTTGAGATTTGAATGACATATGCAGGTTGGATGGACAAAAGAACTCATCTGTTCTTTCCATCTATGTTCCCCATTGGGTTCTGAGGCTCTTGTGTTACACCCTCCACCATGTAACTTTCATTTTGGGTTCTCTGATTGCTCTCACAGGCTTGCCTGTGCAACTCAAAGCTACTCCCAGTTCCTGTCTAACTTGACAGAAGCCTACAGCTTCATTCACAGTAAAACTACTTGTAGTATTACTAGTAGTACTAATAGGTTTTTAAATAATGTTCACATTTTATTTAATTTCCTTCACACAAAAGTCTTATAACACACCTAGAACAAGTAGTTGCCAGTTCCGTTTATTAAAGAAAGATCTAAGACTCAGATAAATCTCAGTTAGAAAAGTGTGTGTATATGCTCTCCATATTCAAATCCAGGTCTGCTAACATGGAGGCTTGAAGGTCTCAGAATGTGGCCCCTGGACCAGCCGCATCTAGGAATTTGTTTTATGAGTAAGTTCTCAGGCCTATTCCAGGCTGAATGAATGAGAAGCTCTGTGGGTGTATTTGAATGGGCCTTTAGGGTAACAAGGAACATGTTTGAGTTTTGTCTAGGCCAGTGTATCCTCTCTGTTAACATGGCATCCATTCTCCCACCTCTAGTTCTACTTCTTCATAATGAGTAAAAGGAGAAAAGGTAAGCTAGTCCAACAGGATCTTTTGTACCTGAAGCGAAATTCTCCAACAACTCCTTAAGATTCTGTTTAAAAAAAAAAATCTTGGCCCCATGGAGGTAAGTCAAGCCCATCGAACTGAGTTTATTATCTCTCAGGGAACATAAAGGAAACAATCTGACAAAATAGAAATTATGTTTTTTTTCTGCTTCTGGAAATTTTTACTTTACCCCATAGTATCACATTTTGTGAATATAACACCATCACAATCACAAGTGGCTATTTGGAGACTTTTATTTCTAGTATGATTTTGCCTTAATTATTAAATATGTTTCCAATGGACTGTTTATTACAAATATTCATCTGAATAATAAATATCAGACAGTGACTTAGTAATCAGTGGAGTCAATGAAGCCCCGCCTCCCCAAAGTGTTTAGAGCTGGGTACCAGTGGCTCATGCCTATACTCCTAGCTACACAGGAGGCTAAGATCTGAGGATTACAGTTCAAAGCCAGACGAGGCAAAAAAGTCCCTGTCAGAATCTTATTTCTAATTAACCACTCAAAAAACTCAAAGTGGAACTGTGGCTCAAAAGTGATAGTGTGCTAGCCCTAAACAAAAGAGCAGAGGGACAGCGCCCAGACCCTGAGTTCAAGCCCCACAACCTTCAAAAAAAAAAGTGATTAGGACAAAGCTAATGGCCATCAAAAATCAGTGGAGCCAGGCTTGGCACCTCATGCCAAGGAGGCAGAGAGCTGGACGATCATGGTTGAAGGTCATCCTTGGTTAAAAAATTAATAAGATCCTACATCAATAAACAAGCTGGACAGAGGTAGCAGATACCTATAATCCCAGCTATATGGGAAGCATAGATAGAAAGTTCATAGTCCATTAGGTATTAGCTAATTGAACCTTGGTGGTAAAATTCTACAAAAGAGAAGGGCTTCTAAGTTCAGAAAACACACAAACAGATTAGATCGCTATTTAAATATTAAGTAATAATACTATTGCCAGGAACCACTCGACTTAGCAGAAGCTTAAAACAAGTGAAAGGCTGACATTAAGTTATTTTTGTGGATGCCTTTAGCCACTTCCCTTGGGTCCTCTCTAGAAGATCTACTCAAGTGTTCATTTATACAAGCCCCTTTATGGTCATTTTAAAATTGAGAACATCTTGATTTCCTACTTTGAATAGTAACAGTTCTTCTAGTTTTAAAGAGTCAGATTAGAGGGGTTGGAGGCATGGTTCAAATGGTAGAACATCAACCAATGAGTAAAAGCATCAAATACCAACTTCAGACAAAAAAAGTCAGAGCTGGTGGAATAGCTCCGTGGTCGAGTGCTTGCCTAGGACGCACAGTTCCTGGGTTCTATCTCCAACCCTACCAAAAAAATCAAAGCATGGAAACTAAAACCACCCTGTAGCCTAGAGCTACATGGGCTTAGTTGTTCTCTTGGAATATATCCTTCCAAATGCTTTCTCTTGTTCTGCATACATTATTTTCCAAATCATGTAAGCTCTTTAAATATAACCTATATACTCAAGGTAAAGTGAGATCAAATTCATAATTTAGATTAATTCAAAATATTGTCATATCGTTTAGTCTAAAATGAGCTTAAATGGATTTAAAAAGTAGAATTTCTTTTTGAGAACAATTTTGAATGTGCAGAAAAATTAAGACAAGAGTAGAGAACTGAGCCTGGTGCCGGTGGCTCACGCCTGTAATCCTAGCTACTCAGGAGGCTGAGATCTGAGGATGGCCATTCAAAGCCAGCCCATGCAGGAAAGTCTGTGAATAAACCACTAGAAAACCAGAAGTGGTGCTGTGGCTCAAGTGGTAGAGCGCTCACCTTGAGCTGAAGAGTACAGGGGCAGTGTTCAAGCCCAGATTTCAAGCCCCACATCCGACAAAAAAAAAAAAAAAGAATAGAGAACTGGAATATCATAACACTGGTGGCTCATGCCTGTTATACTTCTTAGGAGGCTCAGATCTAGAGGATTGTAATTAGAGATATCTAGGCAAAGAAAAAAGTCTATGAGAAAAAAAATATCACAGTACAGGGTCTGGGGGAAAAAAGTTAAGACCTAATCTGAAAAATAAAAAGAGCTAGACTTGAGAGATCTTCTGCTTAGGAAGCACAAGACCCTGAGTTCAAACCTCAGTAATACATATGGAAGTAGAACTAACACATGTTCACAATTCTGATCCACTGGGGTGAAAGCTTTGTAGAGGGCACAGGAATATGGTATCTAAAGCCAAATGGATCCAGCAGCTAGCACAGGTTGGCCGTCTACAATCTGCAGCTTCTTAGAGCAAGTCCCGTGTCTAGTCTCAGCTTGCCTTCACCCATCTGAAAATAGAGATCATTACTGAACCTACTCAAAAAGTCTTTGTAGGGGCTGGGAAGGTGGCTCAGTGGTAGAATGCTTGCCTTGCATGCATGAGGCCTTGGGTTCGATTCCTCAGCACCACATAAGCAAAAAGAAAATTGCCAGAAGTGGCACTGTGGCTCAAGTGGTAGAGCGCTAGCCTTGAGCTGAAGAGCTCGAGGACAGCGCCCAGGCCCAGAGTTCAGGCCCCACAACTGCCCCCCCCCCAAAAAAAATGTCTTCATAGTAGAGGAGTGTATGGATGAGTGAAAAAGGGTGCAAGGGACAAATACAGCAAGAATACCCAATGTACCTAAGTGAGAAAGAAAGTGGGAAACGAGAAATGACTGTTGAAGAAGCATTGGACATTTAGTTGGACATATTAAATTGTAATCCCCTGTACAATCTCTCAAAGTTCAGAAAAAAAATGTTGCCCAAGAACTCAGGGAGATCACATGCTTAAAAGATACTCATCCAACTCTATCTCCTTTCCATCTTCTATTAAGGCTCACATCTATAATCCTAGCTACTCAGGAGACTGAGATTTGACAATAGCAGTTCAAAATCAGCCCAGGCAGGAAAGTCTGTGAAACTCTTATCACCAATTAACTACCAGAAAACCAGAAGTGGTGCTGTGGCTCAAATGGAAGAGCGCTAGCCTTGAACTGAAGAGCTAAAGGACAGCGCCCAGGCAGGCCCAGAGTTCAAACCCCATGACCAACCCCCACCCCAAAAGAGGCCTTATTGAGTCAGAAAATAAACAGCACATTGCTGAGGTAGATCCTGCATGAAGCAGTCCAAACGTTTCCAGAAGTTCTGTGCCTACCACATCAAAATGACCAAGGCCAGGTCATTTAAACACTCCTAGTCATTGCCATTCACTTGAAGGTATGTGGAGCTACTGGAAAAATAGCATTATTTTCTGTAGGGTTCCCACGAGAGTAGGAGAGCCAGACATGGATAAACATACAGACTGATGGTTTCTATATATTGAGATAGGCACAGAGTGTAGAAGTAGTACAGGAAAAGGATCCTCTGGGAGAAGGAAGAGAATAAGAGGTGTTTGTCAGAGCAGGTTTCTTTTTTTTTTTTTTCCTCTTGGCATCAGCTGAGCCTTTGGCGTTATCGGCATTGCCCACAGTGGCATCTGCAGACCATCGTGAGAAAAGACATCACTTGCCTTTGTTTTATGCTTTTTTAAAAAAATTGTGAAAATACCACACAGAGGGGTGACAATTACATGAGCAAGGTAATGAGTACATTTCTCATCAAGCATTGTTGCCTCCTCCTCTGTTTCCCCTTCCCTTCCCATCTGCATCAAAGTTGTAAAGTTTGTTTTTTGACACATAACGTCTTGTACATCTCATTGTTGCAATGGGTCCACCTGTATCCCTATTTAAACAACTTGTGTTTTCCCTTCCCCTCCACAAATTATACCAACATCAAATTACAGTGAAAACAGGGTTTATACCATGGGGGAGGGACATACAAAGCAACGAAGAAATATCTTATAAATATGTTAGAAACAATAGCAAGAAAGAAAAAACATTTGGGGTTCATTTCGACTAACATCAACTTATCTGACCGTTTCCAGGGCAGGTTTCTTAAGAAAGCAATGCCTGAGCAAAGTCTTGGGAGTCAGTAAGAGCTGAAGGAACCACTGGTGAGCGTGGTGGCAGCATGCAGGTGTCTTCTCTAGCTTTTGTTCACCGAGCTGTGGACTGGGCGTCCTACCTCAGCTAGTCAGGAGAGAGCCTGTGAAAGAATGGTTCAATGGCCTCCTGCCTGCTGTGAGTCCGCAAGCTCCTATGAAGAACCTACCTCATTATTATGATTCACGCACACAAACAAAATAAAATGGAAAAAACAACAACAACAACACAGGTTTGGTAATTTTGGTTTTTATGGAGTTGATAAATTACCTTTTTCAAAATAAAAGCCCCCAAACAGAACATAAAACTTAAGGAAAAACTTAAGGTTGAGAAGATCTCTTTCCAATTCCCCATATAGTACTTTCCAAGAGAAATGAAGGGAATAATTCATTGTAACAAAGAATAAAGAAACCATATTTGTCATGAAATTGACAGAAACTCAAGTCAGTCTGGGATATGGGGGGAGGGGCAAAGATGTGTGATTTTTCTCAACAGAAGAGGTTTTGCTAGGGATGCCCTAAGTTAGATGGTCAAGTATGTACAAAATCAAGTTGATTTTTCTCTGGGCACTCATCCAGTTCTATCTCTTTTCCATCTCTAGTGTCGCTGGTACAGGAAAGCCTTCACTATTCAGAGACCTCTGGCCAACTTTGAGACTTACAAAGTGAGCAATCCATTTCTTTGACCCGATCAGCTCATCACTGAACAAGTAGGGAGGGGCCCTTCTCACATGGCAGAAGTTGCTAGAAACAAATGAGTGCTGTCTCTTCCTTGTTTCATTTTACAACTATCACTCGCCAAAGTGCCATCTTCCTACTTCTGCCACCTACTACACACCCTCATTTAAACTCTGAACCACACACCAGATAACACCAGCTTAATGACTGATGATATACAAGGCACCTACATGCTAGATGATTTTATCTTTGGACTTTCTGGAATTTCAGCAAGGATTTTCCCACATGAATACATGTATATTTCTGGTTCCTTCTGAAATGAAATCCTAGATTATTTTCCTAATTTCCTAGGCAATAAGTATGATTCGTTTGGAGAGCGCACTGTGATCTAGGATAGCAGTTGTCAGGCTGCGTCTTGCCCTGAGTGACTCCATTTTATAGAATACCAATTTGCTTGATTTTGAGTGCAAATGCTGAGGAAGAGAAACTGTACATCTTGTTTGCTCAAGTAAACAATCACCATCTGTCCGGCACAAACAATGAGACAGGGAAAGACGATGTATTTATGCAAATGAAAGATTACTACCTATGAATTCATCAAATTAAGTCAGGGACACATAGATACATAGGTATATCAAAACAATATCAGAAAAACCAGGCTTGTAGGCACACCAAGCACACCAGATATAAGCCTGGGCCTAGGAAAGGAGCACCCATGACTGAGATGTGGTGGGCCCGCTAACTGTCCACTTGTCATCAGCTTTGTCTAGCAAAAGATTTCCTCTGTCTCTGTCTCTGCTTTGGTCCCTTCTATCCTTTCTGTACATCTCAGCTTCTCCTGCCTCTGGCACACTTCTGACACTCAAGAAGGTGATGGCGACCATTGAGACGGTCTGAAGATGGGACTGTGGGGGACACTTCACTTCGTATCTTCAAGTGGGTACCAGTGGTGGATCCCCTAGAAGAGGAATGTGGAGGGCAGGTGGTGGGACAGACAGATCGCTGGCTGGAAGAGGCGGGGCAGGGGCGCCAGTCCAAGAGGAGGTGGCCCTCTTACTCTGCTGGACCTCAACGATGAGAACGGCAACCAGAGTTTCCATTCAGAAGGTTCCCTGTAGAAAGGCACAGAGCTGAGCCCTGGGGGCACTCCCCAGCCCAACCTCCCTGTGTCCTCTGCCAGACCTCCAGAAGGGGTCACTACAGAGGAGGCCCAGCCTACACAGCTGGGTTAAGAGAGAGACCCTGGGGGCCCACCTACAGGCAGCACTGATGACCCCTCTGTGCTCACCAAGGAGGGGCCTGTTCCAGAACTGCAGGAAGCAGAGGCCCCTGAAGCTTACCCAGTCTTTGAGCCAATGCTACCTGTCTCTAAGGCAGCCCCCGGTGACACAGAAGACTCAGAGGGCACCCCCCCCCCCCACACACACACATTCAAGTGCATCTGCCCATATGCCCCGAACCCCTGAGAAGCCAGCCTGCTTGTCCAGACACCCAAAGGGCCCCTTTGGCTTTTTACAAATAAAGACCTTTTTGTAAAATAAATAGATAAATAAAAGAGTTAACATTTGTAGTTAAGATTGGAATAAAACAACACATGATTGTCAATAAGCATGACTATCGCTTAGTGAATTAATACTAGTGAAATGGATGGCACTTGTGAATTTATTGTTGTTTAATACATTTTGACATTGTGGATAGACACAAATGTGCCTATCTGTGTTTTTGACATATTTGCTCATGAAGGTATGATACAGACAAAAATATGACAATGTTTCCAATCAAGGAAGTCTCACCCTATGTAAATATCTTTGCATGGACATCATGGGTTCATGAATGCAAAAACCACAGCATAGTTCCTGAGATGCAAAAATCATCAAAGGATCAATTTTGTGTGTGTGGGTATAACTCAGAAGCATCCCACTGGATTCTGAAATGGTAGATAATCAAAAAAGGTCCAAAGCTCTGAAAGAGGAGAAACAGAAATAAGAAAGACTTGGTTTGTGTGTGTGTGTGTGTTTTTTTAAATCAAAGCCTATTTTAGAATTAAACTAGGAATAAGGCAGGAGTTAACAGCTTCCTCATTATTAAACAAGCTTTGAAAAATCTCAACAGAATTTGGTGGCATATGGTGTGTGTCAATGGAATTCAACACTCCTCTTAGACCATAAAAATATTTTTTGCATGTAATGGCTACATTTTTTCATAAAGCAAAAACAGAATTTTTTCATCAAGAACTTTCCAGAAGCCACTGTTAAACTCCGTCATTTTGTGACTGAAATAAGGTCACCCTGTTTCATAGTCAGGAGCTAGGGAAAATAAAGAAAGACAAAGGATCAGGAATTGGTGGGCTTCCATCTGTCCATGACTCATCAGTAACTCATCGTCTTCACCACACTTCCTCCTGGCTCTGTGGAGCTGGTGAGGGCAGAGGAAAACTCACAAGGGAAGGGATCAAACTCAGCTGCTTCTTCCCCTACCTCTTTTCCTCCTTGTTGTCTACATCACATCATGCTACTTTTCCCACCATGGTTTTCAATTGAGTTTTGAATAGGCAGAGAGACAGAAATCTAGTTTCAGTCTTCTATGTGTGGAAATTGACTCTTCCCCTGTAGTTCAGAATAATGATTTGGGACTTATTTCCAGGCCTTAAAAAAACACTGTAAATAATCATGTGCATTTCCAAATCGCTTGAAAGTCTAAAACAGTTATATTTTAGAGACTGGAAAGCTTTTAGGAATCATTTGGCTTCCTCCATTTGTTTTCTATATCGAAGAGTAAGCTGAAAGCACGTTGATGCTTTGTTCAGCAACCACTGAGACAAATAATGGTTTAGGCACACTTTGGAGCATAATGATGCTCCCCCACTCAACCATATGGGTTATACCATGCTGAATAATAAACATTTAAAATATATTTGGCGGGGCTGGGAAGGTGGCTCCATGGTAGAGTGCTTGCCTTGCATGCCTGAGGCCCTGGGTTCGATTCCTCAGCACCACATAAGCAAAAAGAAAAAAGCCGGAAGTGGCGCTGTAGCTCAAGTGGTACAGCACTAGCCTTGAGCTGAAGAGCTAAGGGACAGCGCCCAGGCCCAGAGTTCAGGCCCCACGACTGGACCAAAAAGAAAAAAAATATATATATATACATATATATATATATGTATATATATATATATATATATATATATATATAATTTGGGGTAATAGAGGCTAAAGCTCTTATCTAAGATAAATTCAATATACCCACACTTTTCTTATATCCTAAAGCGTCATGTTCCCAACCAACAATGGTTTCTTCATTTTGTACTTTTTTGACTAGTCTACCTCATTACTAACTCTGGTGCTACTCTTATTATCCAACACAGCTCACATTTGACTCATGGAGCTATCTCTTGCATGAACCTGTGTTCACATTGCTTCTGGAAAGGCCTCAGGCATTGGAAATTCCAATAAAGGTCCACAATTGGCAAAAAAAAAAAAAAAAGTGTATGAGCCCCAAGAATACTTTCATGTCATTTTCCTGCTTATCAAGGAATCAGAGTTCCACCTCTATATCTTCTCCTTGAATGCTGTGAACTCAGTGGTCCACTCATTCACCCACTTAAAGAGCCTGCATCAGATGCTGTAGAGATCTGAGCTGAGTAAGATCCTATCCTTTGACTGGGAAGAGCCTGTAATTTGGTGGACTAGGCTAGGCTTATAACCACACATTGTAAGTATAGGAAGCAGCAGAAATATGAAATGGAGGTGCTTGAGGAATAAGGAGAAAGGAACTGTATCTGGCGATGATTAGGAAATGTGTTGTCTTAACATACAAAATCTGAAAAGTGAGAACATATTAGTACTTGAACTCCTT